GTCGCGTGATGTTCACTACATTTACCACAAGAAATGTGCGAATCTTTGCAATCTTTGGCGATGTGACCAAAACGATGGCAATTATAACAACGGGTTAAGCGTATATAGTCGGCCCAACGTAGGGATTTCCAGCCAATACATCGTCGGTTTCTATTGCTCACTATTTTGTATAATTGGGGATTTATTTCCAGAACCCAAGTTTTGGTGTTTATATTTTCATCTCTATTCTTAATGTCGAATTTTACGCTAATATTATCCAGTACATTTTCATTATTCGATTCCAGATATTCTTTTACATCTCGATTTCTTGTTATTATCTCATCGATGAGATTAGCGCCGCTGATATCGTTGGACACACCGTATAGTGCAATACGTGGCCAGCGTTTCTTCGGTTCTTCAGCCTTTAGATCCACTGTATTATTGATGGCATGAATTATCTCTTGTCGGTCATCCGGTGTATCGCAACTCAGAATAACACCGCCTTTAGAACCAAATCTGGCGCTCTTTACATAAACTGCAGTATTATTGGAGTCAATAATAGTCTTCACTTTTAGCATATTATCTTTCGATGACGTGCTCTCATCGATGGGTCGGATGACAACTATGTTGTCATTTCTCCCATTATTGCGCAATACTTTTACGCCCTTTGGGTCCACTTTTACGGCATTTGCGTACGTTTTTGGTTTCGATTTACTCACTATTTCGGCGTTAATTGTGTCCACTTTTCGTATAATACGCGCCGTATCTCTCTCTATAGCCCTTAAGCGATCATTAATAGGATCCAAAAGTGTGTTGTTATCGCAATTCCGGCACTCATTCTCGTTAATTATGCGGTTTTGGAGCATAATTACGGTCAGTAATCCCTCCACATTCTCTCTAACACAGTTGACAAGTTGTGTCGAGGTCTTACTAAACTTTGCAAACTCGTCAAAAATAGCATTTTTGTATTTTTTGGCGTCAGACACGAAACTATCACAACTGGCAGAGTTAGTGTCCGCCATGTTTTTAACTATGTACAGTACCAACTAGATACAGTTGTAAGTAGAAAAATTATTTACGCGTGTAAAATTAATAATTTAAAAATATCTCACAAAATTAGTCAATTGTCCAACAATGCTCAAGCAACCATGCTCATTATCGTGGTCATCGCAGTGAATATGTTCATGGGCATACCCGGGTACCACTCGGGGAGGCGTGTCGTTAGGCAAACCAATTGTTTACGAGATGCGTCTAAAGCATGCGCGATGGCACTCCAGAATCTTATTACAGATCCAAATGCTGATATGTATTAGTCATAACCATAGGGGCGTTAGAACTGGACATTCAGGGCTATACATTAATAAACTCAGACAATATTTTATTTTTAATCATAACGCCCCTATGGTTATGACTAATACATATCATCCAAATCATTGATTACGATGATATCTACTACAATTATCTCGAGGACATAACCGCGGTGGTCGCCCCCGATCCAGATGACGATAATCCCACTTCACATGGGGACCCGTACGTCAAATTGCTTAGACTGAGTATAAATGTGACTCAATTGAGACATGCGACCATGGCACATTCTACATGGACAGTGATACTAATAACTACAATACCACTGGTAATATCTGCATTAGGATCATGAACTCTGAACCGTATGGCAAGTTGAACGCTATGGCTAATATGATTACAGTAAATCAGCAGATTGTGATCGGGCTCACGAATTTGGTTACAAAGAACTTGACCCAGGATCAACCTCTGAATGCTCGTATAAATCAGTTAAGAATGGAGGCCGATGATGAAAACCCTAATAACTGATTACCCCAAGTAATAATATTACCCTCTAGAGCCGGGTATTATTCCGTAATTGTTACCTAATAGACAATTAGTAATACTATTAGTACACATATGCGCTACTTTGCTATATTATAGTAATTACTGATATTGTTTAAATGATATTGATATAAAAATTAAATTTTCTTTTTACAATTCAAGTGTATTATACGCAGTTCTAGTACAATTAAATTTAAATTAAATAAAACAAATTTTCCATAGCATTTATTAAGCATTTGCACAGGTATGTTAACATAATTGAGTGTCAAGAAATTTATATTTAATGGTATTTATAAACATGACAAAAAACCAGAGGAATAATTAATTCGATTATGATATCTATTTATTAGGGAACTGGCAAATTGACCTAAAAACCAATTGACCTAAACTTAAATAACTTAATGACCAATAGACTTTTGACCATTGTAAGGACAGGTAAGGTTAGGTTAGGTCAAGGGGAACATTTTACACTGGTCATCAGGTATATTTACCTACCGGTCATTAAGTTATTTAAGTTTAGGTCAATTGGTTTTTAGGTCAATATACCCGCACCCATTTATTATTATACTATTTTGATCATTTATACTAACAATTTTGACATTCTTATTGAATTACGGATTACGGTCAGTACTTGTATTAAGATTTAATAAATACAGGTTTATGGCAAATGTTGACAACTTTTATTAATTAATACTTTTAATTAGTACATATATAAATTTAATTTACACTCAGGGCGTGTTTAATAATATATTCAAATCAACTAATTATTTACACACCAATCGATGTAACATATTATATAATAATAAACTTAAATGTCAAACACATAGCAGTGTATGACTTACATCATATGAGTTATTAAATGTTCGCACTCTATATGTGCAACACTTTCACAAAATATATTTATAAGTGAATAAAATCACAGAATATTCTTATGAGTGATAACTATTTTAAAAGTTTAAATAATTAATAAAAATAACTTAAAAACCAATGGTTAAGGACAGGCTGTCGGAGCTGAGGGCAGTGGTCGAGCGGAACGACAGCCTAATCGTGAGCTTTGAGAGCAATGAATACCTAAAAGAGGACGGAATGCATGACTTGTACGAAGAGGTGGAACTCATCCGCGAAGACATCGAATCCATTCGTACGGATGTGGAGGAAGTGAATGCCATTCACGAGAAGATACTAAACGCACCGCAAACTCATGAGAGTATGGCTTATGTCCTGTCAATCACTGCCATATCCTTATGATAATTGTCTGTATGTCTGGACACAGGTGTGAGACAACGCTTGGATTGTTTGGTGGCAGACATCAAACGCACCGCCAATGGGGTCCGACATAAATTGAAAGGTATTTTTTGGCCTGGTTGTAAATTATTAATGCTTTGATTTAAGGTTATTGTTATGTTTTCCTGTTTTTAGTATATGTTGTGAATATTTTTGCCAAATATTTTTAAAATACAAAATTACTATTTATATTGTGATTCAAAGTAGTCTTTCCAATCGGGAACCGAAAAATTGGGAGTTTTCGGGAGGGACGGGAGTGTTAAAATCAGGACGGGAGTGAACGGGAGTCCCGTTACATGTGATTCGGGAGTGAACACTCCCGTTCACTCCCGACCACTCCCGTCCACTCCCGCTTCACTGTTTTATGTATGTTTTGCTCATATCTTATAGATAAAAATTTTCAAATCTATTAACTTTTAAATAAACAGTATCATTTAAATATTAGGTTAAGCCGTACATTCAAACCAAAGTATTGAAAATGAGTCTAAAAAACAAAAAATAGATTTTATTTTAGCATTTTGTTACCTGTCGGGAGTATTCGGGAGTTGTCGGGAGTCCCGATCAGCTTTAGGACGGGAGTCGGGAGGCGGGAGTCATAAAAATTTGCCGGGAGGGATCGGGAGTATGGCTTAGCCTCAATTGGAAAGACTAATTCAAAGTTTGAATTTCAAACTAAATTTTAATTATTAAACTAGGCAATAGACTAGTAATATTTATATAATTAATTATATTGATCACGAATACTTTTATTCATAGTTATAAATTATGTTATTTATCTGTTACAGAATATTTTGGCTAAATATCCCAACTATTTTAAAGTATCCTGTTGTAGCTTATGCTTAAAATAATTTTTTCTGTGTGTTAGCTATGGAGCAAAAAATACGTGATTTGGAGGACAGGGAGTCGGACCCGGGTATGAGCGCCGACATCCGGATCCGCAAAACACAGCACTCGATGTTATTACATATGTTTGTGGAGTGTATGACTCAATACAATGCCATTCAATCGGATTATAACCGCAGATATCGGGAGCTGTTTAAGCGTTGGGCTGAGATAACGGGCCAATACATGTCCGACGAGGAAGTGGATAAACTGATAGATAGGGGTGGCCTACAGGTCCTCATCCAGGGTATAGTGACTGACACTCAGCAAGCGATGGATGACTTGCGGGACATTGAGGCCCGACATCGAGATATCGTTAAACTCGAGAAAAGTATCCGAGAAGTGAATGACTTGTTTACGGATCTGTCACTACTTGTCGACCATCAGGTGCTCTTTCTCTCTCTCTCTCTCTCTCTCTCTCTCTCTCTTATTATAATTAATTTGATTTATATATATATACAGTAAAGGTCTGATAAGAGAACGGCTGTTATAGGCAAAATCCTTTATAAGCAAGCAAATATTAAAGCACCGGCAGCTCCTATGGATTTACAATGTTAGTGGGGTCTGTTATAAGCAAGTCCGTTATAGGCAAAAGTCTCTTATAAGTCACTAGTTTTGTAAGCACGTGTATAACATTATGTAATGCTCTTATAAGCAACATAAGCAACAGACTATAAAAATATTTTTAAATGCAAAAATGTTTTTCAATTAGTATTTTGTGGTAAAATGTTATATTTTACATACAAAGTATACATGTTTTGTGTTTGCCATGTGTTTATAAATTTATTAGTGTTTGTGTTGATTTAGCACTTAAAAATGAACAAGTGATAACCAGTGGACACACATAGATTCATTTGCCTTAAGACAGACACCACTTGACTGTTACTGTATATTAAGGTCCAAAGTTAGACCAATTTTTGAAACCCGACCCCAACCCTTGGTCTATTTCAAACGGGAACTCGCCCGCCTCTGTTCCGGGAGACCCATGGGAACCCGAAAACCCCTTAATATATTAAACTGCAAAATTGCGATAAGTTTCACATTAAATTCACTTTTATTGCATTTTACAATAAACATGGTCATATAATGTTTTAAGGTTTACAAAAATCATAATTGGATCTAATAAACAATAATTTATCGGCATTTTGGGGGTTGAGAGTAAATATAAATAATGTGAGAGAAATATACAGGTTTGGGCTTTTTAAGGGTTTTGATTTATATACCGGGAAACCTTTTCCCGATCCCGCCATTTATAGTCAAATCCGTTCCCGTTCGAAACCTTTAAGGATCGGGTCGGACAAGGGTTACCAACTTCCTATTCTACTGTATATATAATTATACGGTATTTAAAAATTATAGAAAATGTCTGCAAAAATCACAGGAAAAGCCTTTTGGCACCAAATATTAAGTTAAATATATTTAGTCAAATTAAATGATAAACAGGCTAACATCACTGATTATTTGCTTTAAAACTGTATTTTATGTATTATTAATAAAAATAAATGTTTAGTCTCATATAGGCAAATTCCTTTATAGGCAACAAATTTTTCTGGCAAATACGTGTTGCTCTTAAAGGACCTTTACTGTATATATATATATATATTGTAATAACTATTGACTTAAAGGGCGTTATATTGGATACCATTGAGAAGCACGTGGGGGACAGTCGTGAGTACGTCGATAACGGAACCGAACTTATGAGAGAAGCCAACCAATACCAAGATGAGGCCTGCAAGAAAAAGATGATAATTATTGGAATAATCGCGGTCATTGTGTCACCAATTATTGTATTTATAGTTGTGTAATTTTATTTTATTATGCTGTTTATTGTAAAGTGTTAAGTAATACAAAATTAAATATAATTTGTCTTTTACTACCGTATATAACAAACACGTTTTTAGGTTAGAATTTGATTTTTTATCTAAGAGGTCCCGGGTTCAATCCCTGGGCGCGACCTTTCATACAATTTGTCTTTTCAATAATTTCTACTCCCTTTCCCCGTTTATCTGATATTAAAAATGAGTTATTAAAAAACATATCAAGTTGATTTTTTATGTTTTGTGAAATATTCCAATCTTTTAAAAATATAATAACAATTTCTATACAATGCTAAATACAACCTAGTTCACTGACTTACCCTTTTATAATTGTTTTTCATTTTATTAAACAAACTAGGAAATTTTATATTAATAATGGTTTACTATTAATTGATTTTTGGAATTAAGTTTATCTGTAATGAATAAAGTATAATAATTGTTAAAAATATAATAATATAATTATATCTCATTCATAAAAAGTGTAAATTTTTAAAAATTAAGTGACTTGCTTTGGACCAATAAAACTACCCCGGCTCTTAAACGAATAGCCGCTTACGTCGCTCCCACGCCCGACAATATGCCAGATGACGATCCGTTTGTCACCGCGTGCTCCACATTGTTGGGCATGTTGAGAGCCAATTGTAACATAACCATGTGCCAATATGGTGAATCCTACCTGAGATGCATCAGCCAACCAGACCCTGGACTTGATGATGCCTACAATACCACTGATAATATCTGCAATAGGATCAAGAGCTTTACACCCTATAGCAAGTCTAACGGTACTGCTAATATCATTACAGTAAATCAACAGATTGTGATCGGGCTCATGATTGGGCTCATGAATTTGTTTACAAAGGACTTGTCCCAGGATCAACCTCTTAATGCTTGTATAAATGAGAGACTATCTGAGAGCTCTGATACCCTCGACCTCGAGGATAAATAGCCTATAGTACAGTTTTGTCTAATTTTTCACCTATTAAACAATTAGTAATACACATATGCGCTACTCTGTTATAGTAAATATACCAAAATTATTTAAATTATATTGTTATAACAATTAAATTTTATTTTTACAATTCAAAGGATACTGTCATAAAAGCATTATGAGTTTCCTAAGCTGGCATTTTTGATTTGTTGATTGGAAATGAAAGCCCATTCAATGCTGAGTCCGAATATGTAATTTATATTGTC